TGGCTTCACTGAGTTACGCAAGCCCCTTTGCCACGACAAGGCATTGATCCATGAAGGGGAAATCCTCATATATGAGTTGGCTATCAGTTTGAAAAATACATTTTTTCAGTGTACATCAGGTTATATGGAGAATTAATTCCTTTGAATAGAAATATATAGTGGCCCTAAAAATGCCACCTGATATATTTGCAAATTCTCTTATTTCCAACTCAATTGAGGCTGAGACTTCATTGTGTGCATCTATTTATGTCACTATGTGTGATCTGGCCTAACATTTATGAAAATTGTTGAACTATTTTTATTTTACAATGTGCAGTGATCACCAGCAAGGCTGGTTGAAGAAATTAGCTTGCCACTTTTCACTCTTCTCTCAATATTTCTGCCAGGATGTTCATAATTTACTTTAACTCCATGCTCTCCTTGCTGAAAAGGAATATGCAAGGAACATATTATGTGTTTAGGGTTTTCTGCAAAGAAACAGCTTTTTTCTCCATCCAATGGATTAACTTGAGGTGAATAGTAAGCTAAAGGAAGGACAGCTCTAGTCCAGTTTGGGACATCCAGTTATTTTTTCCCCCTGTATTTTATTCAATCTGTTCTTTATTATATGTATTTACATATCAACAGTCAACAAGATCTTGATATTTGTATGTTCTCAAATCTTTCATTTGCCTATGTGCCCCTCTTGCATTTCAATATGGGAATGCATCTATACATGTTGACCAGTGGATTCTGTATATCTAGAGTTACACATTAGAGAATACAATAGGAAGATTTCTCAAGTTAAGGTTTAGATCCAACCACATCTCTTAAGCCTGCAGAGGAACTAACAGTACTTTCTTTTATTATTTGCAGAAGTTTTAGAGGAAGCTCTTGTAGGAAATGACAGTGAAGGTCCACTTTGTGAATTATTGTTTTTTTTCCTGACTGCCATTTTTCAAGCTATGGCTGAAGAAGAAGAAGAAATTGCCAAAGACCAAATTGCAGATGCTGAGACCAAAGGTCAGATTTCAATTACACTTTTTAAGACAGCTTTCATACTAATTGCGTTCACAGCAATATGTTTTTTCAATTAACTTTGCTTTGCTACATAACTAGTGAGAAAAGACAATGTTTTAGATGTAAGCTGCAGTGGCGATCCAGATGTATTTCTACTTTTGTCTTTCTAAAAGGGAAGAGATTACATTTATTGTATCTCAAGAATTTCAAACTGGTATGTTTCCCAAAAGATTCAAAATTGTGCTTGCTTATTTTAATTTTAAAGCAAAATCAGCAGTAGAGGCTTATTGAATTTCTGCAGATGTGGTCTTCTTCATCTCTGTGAGGTAAATAACCTCCAATAAAGTAGTTGTATGAGTTTCTGGTTTTGCTATAAGATGTTAGAATGTTCTTTAGATTAGAAGGCATATTTTAGAAGGCTAACAAATTCATTAAGGATTAAGCTAGTAGACCAGAGTCCACTTCAGCGTTCAAAAGAATAAATACATCTGTCTAACTACAAGTCTTTATGTTGTGCAAGTTTGATAATCAATTGTCATAGCAGCACAATGTGTTACTATTCCTTTTGTACAATAGGAAATAATGATGATATCCACACATTAGTTATTTACACATTGGCTAAGTCATACATTTTGGGTTTGCCTTACCATGTTGTATAAGTCCAGCTAATTGCAGAACATTTAACAAACAATCCTAGGAGGAAAATCACAGAGCAAAAGTAGTACTGGCTTATCAGCTGTTTATTCTTTTAAGCTTTTTTCTGATGTCAAACTAGGGTATGTGAGATTGTGGTAACCCAACTTCAATATAATTCAACAAGCAGTACTGTACAAAGGAGGAAGATATCCCTGCCTCTCTGAAGTTGTTCCTCATCTGGGAGAAAGAAAGAAGTAACCATCTTATTTATTTAGTGCTTGTTTCAAGGTGGGGCAACTTGTCCTGAGAATTGCATTGGAAATCAAGGATAAAGAATTTCAGAGTTGGAGCGTGCTATTTAGGCCATTGAAAGTGGGTAGGTGAATATGATATTTTAGCCAATTCAGACTATTTCTGAATACAGATTTAAATCCATGTCAAAAACTAGCCTGGCTGACAGCTCAGTGGAATAGGGGAGAGGTGCAGGGTGAAGTTGAGCATGAAACTGAGCAAACTCAGGGAGGCAGTGAAGGACAGGAAGGCCTGGCGCA